TACAGGTTTACTATTGCTAATCTGTACAAAATATATATGCCTCTGTTGAACCTACCTATCCAACATGGAAGAGGAAGTGGTAAAGGAAGTAAGAAGATGTATCTCAGGCTTGGCTGGTTTACAACATACAATCAAGAAGAGAAAGTAAGATCCATGTACTGGTTCCTGATTCATTTTCCTCTGGAGGCCACTCAGTTTGAGGAAGAAAGTTAACTACAGAGCTGGCTCTGCTGCTGGGCTGGGCGGTTATCTGCTTGGGACATCTCATTTACTTCATGTCTGGAAATTTCCAACAGGATTTGACCTTGTGATAATCTGCCCTGCCTTTGTGTCTTTCTGTTTTTGTTCATTCTTTTGTTGGTTTTTGCTTTTTAACAAAATCTCAATCATTTAATTTTACCATTAAAGACTTGGGAGCCAGACAGATCTTGGAGTAAGAGCCTGCTGGCTCTGAAAGGCAGAGAGAGCACCCAGCTGACCTTCGTCCTCAGCTGTGCCAAAATGAACGAATGCCCCCCTCATGCAATCTCAAAAAATCCTCCTCCAAATCAAACGTCTCCCTTCTACTTCCTGTGCATTTCTCTAGCAGTCCTTCTGACTCCCTCCTACTCTCCATGGTTTTTTTCTTAATAATACTATGTCATGTCCTTCAACTGGGTGCTTGACCTTTGGTTGACTTTATTTAATCCTGTTTACAATATTCAAAAAGGTCTTGGATTAAAGATGTATGCTAATGTTGAACTACACAACACCTAAAAGTAGTTTTTTCCCAGTAAATAACACAATCTCAGGTTTCACAGTGTGATCAAACATCCTTCACCAGAAAACCCAGGCTGGATTGCTTTATAGGACACATATGAAGCAGCTGCAGGTTTTGGGTAAGATTCTTAGGTAGAGAAATTATTCCTAGAGAAAACGGTAGGAATCCTCTGTTCATGTTGTGCATAGTTACGTTTCGGGGTATCCATCCACAAGAGAAGACCACTCTGACATGGGTTTAAGCCACATCTTTATTAGCCAACTGGCAACTATAATGGGTGTTTGGGATCCCAGTGTAACTTTGAGGTTTCTCAGAGAGTGCTTTTAATAACAAAACCATATCTTGGGTTGACATACTTCAGTTAGCAAGAACATTTAGCTAGAAGCAGAACTACAAAAGCCAAAAATCAAGGTTAGTACATTTAGAGACTTTCCCAGAACTAAGGTCTTGGATGGATTAGGTCTTTGTTTTCCTTTTGACTGGTGATAGGATGTGCTGAGTTTCATGGCCTAAATGATGCTTCCATTATGACATCAGTTTGCTAAGGTCTGGGGTCTTGTTACAACAATTAGTCTAGGAATGTCATTTGTGTTGGATCATAGAACACACATCTGATATAAAAAAAAAAAAGTAATTTCACCTGGAGTGGTGTCATACAAATATCAGGTGAACAAAGCTTTCACAAAAATTCAGTGAAGACATTTACTGTCTCATTCAGTCTGTCTTTGCCTGTGTGTTATTTTGCCTACCTTTAAAATTATATGAAAATCTAAAATTGACGTCTTGACTCTTATTCTAAAGCATATCCCATGCCTTACTTCCTTTCTGTAACCCTGAGCATTTTGAACATATATTCAACAGTAAGGAAGGTTCCTTTTAGCATAATGCTTAACTCTCAAGCTTTCTCATGCTTCTTGAAACCTCACATTTTAAAACAGAAACATGTACAGAGTTCCTGTCTACAAGTCCCCCCACCCTTTTTTTTTGGTGTGTGTGTTGGATGAGCATGGGGGCATGCATGTGCAAGGGTACATGTACACAGGAGAAGTTCAAAGGTCACTGTCAGGTGTCTTCCTCACTCTGTCTTTACCAGGGTCTCTCAGTGAACCTGGAGCTCGTCAGTGTGGCCTGACTGAGAGAGCAAGTCTTCCTGTCCTGGCTCCACCCTCAGCCCCAGGATTAAGGTGCCACCACTGCACTCTGCTTTCCCGTTTATGCTGGGGACTGGATCCAGATACTCAGTTACCAACTAATCCATCTCTTTAGCCCCATCTAGTTATTTTTTAGACAATTTAGTTGATCATTGTTAAAGTTTAGGGACAAATATTATGGTCATAAATACAGGGGCAACCTTTCACAATTTAAATAATACATCCTTTTAAAATCTTCACAACTCCAAAACATCGTAAATTTCATTAGTAACAAATCATAGAGCCTGGATATGATCATAATAAGAAATAAGCAAGGCTGATTTGCCTTGGCTGGAAATTTGACGAGGACATTAAAAACAACAACATCAAAAGCACACTTTGTTTTTATGCTTAGAGAAATTACAAGTGTTTTAAAAATATTTTTATGTCGGGAGGTGGCATGGTGGATAAACTGCTTATCATCCAAGTATGAGGGCCAGAGTTCTGATTCTCAGAACACATGTAGAAAGCTGGGCATTCAGAGAGCAGCCATTTGTAATGCCAGCACTTTGGAGCCAAGGAGAAGGGGTCCTCAGAGAAGCTGTCTAGCTAGAGTAGCTGGCATCGGTGAGTCCTGGGTTCAGTAAGAGCTTACCAAGTAAATAAACTGCAGAGCGACGGAGGCACACGCTTGATCCAACTTTGGGTCTCTACATGTAAACACACATAAGTGCATGCACACCTGTACACACATATGTACTCATACATGAACACACACGCAAACCACAAATGTGTGAAAACTCATTCTCTTACTAGTTGAATTACATTAGAGGTTTTTTGATGAACCAGTGAAGAGAGAGCGAGATAAAGCTTTTAGGATGTAGATCTTTAGTCATCAATATGAATCACAGAATTCCCAACAAGAGACTGATCCCTGGCTTGCAGAAGCGTCACCATTTTCATTTTAAATACCATTTCCTAGTTTTGCTATTGAGCAAAATGCTGGCTAAAAGACTCATAGTACTAAAGGTCACTGTCTTTAGCATATGTCCATGCCACAGCATATGTGTAGGGGTCAAAGGACAACTTTCAGGAGTCAGATTATTCCTGTGCCATCATTTGGGTTGTTAGTGAACTCAGGAGGAACTCAAAGTAATAAAATTGATGTTATAGTGTATTAACTAGTAAACTGGCTTAGGAAACACTAAGTTACACAGAGCAGACTTTGCTACAGGAGCTCTGCCTCTGACTGGAAGATAAGTGTCCTAATCAGGCTTGTGAAGAACCAGGAAAGAAAATTCTGTACCACAGTTGAAGTTTAGGATTACTGAGAAAGTTTCTGCTAAAACCTGGTCACCAAGGTTGATTTCCAGTTAGGCTCTATTACCATAACAAAAGGAGACAACCTAGGCTTACAACTAGCCATCAGGCCTTTCCCAGTATCCAAGAACATGCCTCTGAGGGGTAGCTCAAGGGAGCAGCAAAGGGTCACAACCACTATTAAGTCCTGGTCTGTCCTTAAGTTCTCTGTGCTCTCATCAGGAAAAGCATAATTCTGCCAGGTGGGCAAGACCAAGAAGGACACTAGTGTGCTTAAACAGTTCTGGCAATATCTTTGCTGAGTAAATCTCCCATCTGGCCAAGCAAGCCACCAGACCTGCAGTCTCCTGTTTCTGTTTAAACTGCTCAAAGTGTAATCTGGGGCTGGAACCTGGAAGATTTGTGGAATGATAGCCTATGTGAAATGCATAGGCCTAAAGTATATAAAAGTTAACAACACCTTCTATGCAAGGCCTCCTCTTTGAGCATTAGCCAGACCCGCCAACACACAACTATTAAAAATCGTTTCCTTTATTAATCTCTCAGTGTGCAGTTATGTCTCTGTGGCTAGGCTTATTAACCTTCTAACACCTCTGCCGACTGAGCCACCTTGATGGTCCAATTGGGTCAAAATTCTTAATTCTCAGCCAACATGAAAAGTAAAGCAGGTTGGGGGGGGTAAGGACCCCTTTCCCTCCAGTGTCCTCTTCTGTCTTTGTATCCTGCCTCATGTTCATGACTCTTATCCACAGCTAGGGGAAACTAGCACAACAATAGAACTGTACAGGGTAAAGTCAAAGCTCTCACTGGGACCTAGTGCTGGGGCTGTTGCCTGCACAAATGACATTGATTTTGCTTTTGTTTGAGAAAACCATGAAATGTTTCTGCTTGGTCTTATTTTTTTCATGGTCCTAGAATGGTTTGGTCAGAGTTGGGTATTTTTAAGAGCTTCATGCCTAATGAGGGAATCTCAGCTTATTTCTTAAGATCCAGACCAACTTCTGGTGTCATAGGCTGTTCTATGTCATTTCTTAAAAGCTTCAGCCACCTTTATGCTATAACTCAGACCTCCACATTTATGTTGCCTGTGTCTTACATTGTTCCCTCTACAAAAAAAAATACAGTCCACTACTAGACTGGATAACAAAGAACATAAAGGGTATATTCTGCCCAGAAAGAACAGTTCAGGACAAGCTTCTGTCCCTGATAGGTAGCTGGCTGTTTGAGAGATGAATCCTCTCTCCATCTCCCTAGTCAAGGGTTTTCTATTATCCCTAGGTGAGCCTTAGGCAACAAGACAAAAACAAGACAACCAACCACCTTTGCTCACGATCATCTCAGCACTTGAGAGATTCCTGATCCAGAATTCAAAGCCAGCTAGGACGTCATACTTTGAAGATCAGTCTCGGCTAGGTGGTGGACCCTGTGTCAAATCCAAACCACACCCAAAATAAGTCTTGTTACTAATATAAAGAGTTATCCTAAATAACAAATTCGTATGTTGGACCCCAGGCTATAAACATATTTTGAGTTGTATGTTAAAGAATTACCTTAACTATCAAATTGCCCCAAACCCATTGTGAAGACTGCTCGTCTGCATTAGGAACTTCAATGCGTGAAATACACCCACGAGCAGTGCACGCATACTGAGAGTGAGAAAGCCGCGGAGCTCTGCAACCTCCGCCGCCAGCAGGGCCCGCGCAGATTTCAAAGAGGAAGCCGAGCGGGCGGGTCCGGAAACGGAGGCAGGCTGGTGGCTCCGGCTGGCAGGCCCCTCGGCGCCACTTCCGGCAGCGCACGACATGGCTGGAGGCCGGGACCGCAGGGACTTGGCTGCCAGGCAGCTAGTGTTCCTACTTCCAGGTAAACACGGGCGGCGCGTGGGCCAGCGGCAGCGGCGCGAGGTTCTGGCCCAGGCCAGCATCCGTCCGCGAGGTCCTGGCAAGCGCGGGCCGGGATTCGGTGGCCCGCACTTTGCTACGCATCCTGGTCACGTGTCCCAGCACGCGGGAAACTCTAAACCCGGAAGCGAAAGGAGAGTGCGCTGATTCCCTGGGGCGGGTCTAGCCACTAGGCTTGCCGAGAGCAGCGGGGGTTCTGGTACTCTGCTGCCTCTGGGAGTTACTGGGTATCTGCAGCTCTGCATCCAGAATCTTACCGGTCCAAACAGAGCTTCAGTAGTTCCAGGCTGAGTAGCTTTGCTTCTCTGGAAAGGCTTGGGTGGCCAGGCTTAAGGGAGCCTGGATGGGGTTTAGCCGAACGTGGTTTGAAGGAATTCCAGAACAGAGTGACAGTCAAAATTGTAGATGGTGACCAGCTATCAGGGCATGTGGGGACATGGGACAGCCGGTGCCGTATAAGGAGGGCAAATGAAATAAACTTCGGTTAGGGAATGCAAGCTAGAAATATTCTGTCATTTTTACAGATGATACATTTTGATGTTACAATACCGGTGAAGAGGAACACTCGCCAGTCACTTTAATTTTGAGTTTTAGCTTAGCAAATAGAGAATTTTTGCAGCAAATATACTTTACCAGAGTACAGATATCCAGTGATGAAGATTTTTATAATCTTGACATAACAACCTGACACTTATTTTGCATACATAGCTTCTCTCCTGTGTAAAGAGTTAAACACAGTATGGATTTTGGGTGTGCACCTCACACAACTGAACCCGTAATGCTGCTAATCAAGTAGAGTAGCTTTCTAGTAAACAGCTCGTGCATATCTCTTCTAAAGAACTCCAGACTTTCTGTCATCAAGTTAGTTTTGCCTGTTTGGACCCCTGTGCCTTTTGTATCTATCTGTCGTCTGCCTTCCCTCAGTACCGTGTCTGCCAGATCCATCTATGTTGTCTGTACCATGGGTTTTGTTGGTTGGTTTTTTAAATTGCTTCTGGTTGATTGTATGCATATCAATACTACTTATCTCCTAAGGAGGGATGATGTTAGGTGTTTCTGGTTTGCAACTATTAGGAGCAACATTTTGAGGCTGTTGGTGGACGTTGACATTCATTTCTTGAGAGTGTCTGTATCCTGGAGTGGAAGCTGCTTTTTGGTGCTTGTTGGTTTAGCTTTAGTACTGCAAAATGGTTTCTGAAGTGGTTGATACTGATTGGTTCTGACTCCAGTTGCCCATGAGGTGTCCCTGTTAAGCCATACCCTCACTGAAGGTGTTCGGTAAAGCAGCTGGTGAGAATTCCTGGTTTTGGTGATCCATCAGAAGGCTAGCTGGGGGAGGGGAGAGCCTCCTTTCACCCTTCTGTTACATAAGTATAATTTGATTTTCATAGTAGGAACCTTAATCATTCTTTTGTAATCAGACATGTTGATACTATATAGATGCACACAGTAGTTTGTCATAATTTGAGGTTTTATTTGTTTTGTTGGCTGTTTCATTGACATTAATTTCATTCTTAAAGTGTGTCATAATCCTATAACGCACAAAAGTGAAAAGACTTAATATTGAATGCATCCCTCAAAGTAACAGGCATACTAAATCTACTGGGGGTGGGGGGATGAGAAGCACTGCCACCTGATTTCTGTTCAAAGCTGAGGTGTCCTCCTTTATTTTCCCATCAGGCAAAGTGTTCTTTCACCCATTCACTCATTAGGCTGATAGTAAGTAGTTGGGGGTTCTGAAACTGTAAAAACTTGGGCTTCCTGTCTTCTGTTCTTCCAGATGGCCTTTAGTGCCACCTGCAGGCTCTAAGAGTACAAACACGTCTGATAGCCACTATGGTGTCTGCCCTCAAATGTAAGGGTACCAGCCTCCTGGGAGTGAGACTTCATCTGTGAAGGTTCGTAACCAGTAGGTCCTGGGCTAAGGCCCAAGAATATGCTCATTTAGTTAAGTACCAAGCACTGTTGCTGCTGGGCTAGCTGGTCTAATACCGCCTGGAACTGCTGCAGTGAGGACCAGCCTGGGGAGCTGGGGCTGTGGGTACTGAGGTTTTGCTGTTTGAGGGTTCACTATTCTGAGAGTGAACAGAGGGTTGTATACATTCAGGACACAGGCAACTAACCTTGTAATGGTACTCCCTCGACATTTCATTTACATTCAAGTTGCCTCTGGTATGTCATGAAGGTTGTATCTTAAAGTTGGTTGCAGGTCACTTCTCCTCAAGTTTGTTTTGCTAAGTTGAAGCTCCTAGGCAAATGAAAGCTAGAATGTGGAGAGTGGACTGTGCTGGATTCCTTTTCATAGACAAGGTGGGTGTTGTAGCAAGGTGAATAAGTCTGCATTGGGAATGAGCGAAATGCTTCTCTAATGTAGCTTGGGGATGCTACACTGCTCTTTAGTTGCTCTAAGCCCAGTTACTTTTGGAATATGTTGTAAGGTTCCATTTCTCTTTGCTGCCAAAAAGAAGGTAAATAAATGGTAGGTCATATTTTTAATACTTGTTTTCTTTTGTCAAGCTTTTGTACACTTGTCCATTCTACTGAGCTGGGTCAGATGTGAGAGTTAGTCAGGAGTACATCAGGTAACTACAAAGTAGGCAGGAAGGACTGCCTTTGGCTGTTAGGGGGGACTGATAACAGGATTCTCCTCCCAGGAAATGTCTGCAGATTGAAAACCCTAGAGTTCTATGAGGGGAAAAAAAAAGGAAGAATGAAAATCATGTAGGACTCTTGTATATAGGTCCACGTTGCTTGAGTAAAAACGTCCTTAATCAGCACCGCCTACCTCTACCCATCCTCCCACCCACCCCTGAGTGAAGAAGTCCCCAGATCAAACTGGGCTTTAGAGCCAGTCCTCAGTTCTGTGGAATTCCCTTTGGGTACTTCAAAGCTCCAAAGGAAGCTTCCTTGTTTGTCATTTCCACAGGTAGTGCAGGTGTAATGGCCAGTTCTTTTGGAGGCTAAAGGACAGGTAGCCTCTGGGGAAGCCCAGGCCTACCTTCCTGGACATTCATGTGCAGTAACTTTTTAGCTGGGGCGTCATGATGACCACAGATGACATCTAAATACAAAACAAAGCAAGAATTAAAACTATTCTAGGAATTCCCATTTTAGAATTATGTTCTCAATAAAAAGATTTTTTTTTTAAAAAAAAAAGAAAGTCAGATATAGAAGGGAAAGTGAATTTTCCTATCTAATGATGGAGGAACTTTATGTTAGCATTATTTCTGACTAATGGCTTTGTAAAACCAAAGAAACATATCTTTGTTGAGGGTTGGAGGCAAGAAAGAAAAGTATGAAATGAGGGTAAAGGAGGGGCTCCTCTAGACTTTGTCAGGGACCCTAGGAAACAAGTGACTTGCCTCTTACCTAACGGTTGGCACATGAACGCAGGATAGAAGCAGAAGTGGGCCTTTCTCGCTTTGTGTGCATGCATGTTTGTGTTTGGAAACAAGCCTGTGGGTTGACAGCTGCCCTTCTCTTGGCAGGTACTAGAGAACCTGGCCAATCCATGTGTGGCCTTGAGAGGGCCTCTGAATAAGTCAGCTCAGTTTCTTGGAAGATTGCTCATTATTTTCCTGCAGGCAATTTCTGGGTTTTCCAGCATGGCGCACATTTAACATTTTCCACACGAATCTGGCTTTGTCTTTATACAGCATTTCTCGGTGGGGCCCTGTTGACCTTTCTCAGATGGCTGCTGGATCTGCTTCTGACTGTGGAGCACGTTCAGAAGTGATGGATGGAATCAGTCAGTTGGCAGTTGGTAATCTGTTGGTGTAATCTTGTCCTCTTTGTAATTGTTCCAAGAGATGTGGAACAAGTAACTTCTTATGGCTCCCACAGATTTATCCCCCAGGGCAGAATAAAAAAATCATAAAGGAAAGTAAGCCATGGTCTTAAACTTTGAATAGCATCCTAGGGACAGCAAAAGTTTGTCATACCATAGAGCTTTACCAAGGATGTTAGGCAACTGCTCAGTCAATGTTGCCTGAAGCCTGGCTGTAATGAAAGACACCTGGGAAGTGTGTGTGGTTTGTGTGCTTTATCAATTCTGTGTTCTTGGACAAATTGTTGCCTTCATGTAGAGTCTGTCTTCCTCATTTCTACAGTGAGAGAGCAGAGCCAGTCTGGTAGGCTGGTTAGTGATGAGCTAGTATTAACTCCCACGCTCTGTCCACCTTTAGCAGGGCCAGGGACTGAGTAGGTCTTTCACTCAAAGAACACCCCAGTTCCGTTTCTTCCTGGGCTGTTTTCCATAACACTGTCTTTGCTCTTGTGTCAGATTCTACTCTGGCTTCAAGGTTCAACTTTGTTTCCCACAAGGCCAAGTTATGTGCTCCAGCCCAACTTTTCTTTCTCTGAATGTTGGTAGCTTTTTATCTGCCTGTAATCCTGTCTCCACTCTCTCTGCTTGGGAAACTCTTGAAACCCACCTTCAAGGTAACTTCTACACGGAAGCCATCTCACTGGGCCTTTCCTGTTAGTGGTACCTTTTCTACCAGCTATGCGTGTGATTACCAGTTTTGTATAAATAACTAGGTGTGAACTATCCAGGAGCTACAGGGAATCCAGGCATGCTCTCCCTCAGTAGCCATTAGCTTGTCAGCAGTGACCTTGGCCTCAGCTTCTGAGGATGTTTCTGAAAGTCAGAAGCACGCTGCTTTAAGTTGTGTAGAACTTTCTTTGTGACTTCGTTGGATGCCTTGTGCTGAAGTTGAAAGGGGGTGGGGGGTGGGGCATGTGAGGTAGTCAGAGCTGCATGGTGCCCAGTCCCTCCCATGAAGTAGCTGGCTGGTGCCTGAGGTCTCTCCTACTAGACAAACTCTCATGAGGGCCTAGATTTGCTAAGACTCTGTGGGGTTTCCCACTTAATTGTATTGCATTGTATTGTATTGTATTGTATTGTAGTGTATTGTAGTGTAGTGTAGTGTATTGTAGTGTATTGTAGTGTATTGTATTGTATTGTAGTGTAGTGTATTGTAGTGTATTGTAGTGTATTGTAGTGTATTGTAGTGTATTGTAGTGTATTGTATTTTATACTACTGTGGGGGAGTCAGTAGACAAGGTCTTACACAGTAGCCCAGGCTGGCCTGGGACTCATGGCTGTTCTTGTGCTGCCCCGTCTCTTGTGCTTCACCATGCCTAGCTACTTCATTGATTTTAAACTTGACTTTGTTGTTTTAGTTCCTTAATCTGAGTTTTTATCTTTAACTTTCAGTTACAAATTTTCTGTTTTAAAAAATAACTTTAGCCGGGCGGTGGTGGCGCACGCCTTTAATCCCAGCACTCGGGAGGCAGAGGCAGGCGGATTTCTGAGTTCGAGGCCAGCCTGGTCTACAGAGTGAGTTCCAGGACAGCCCGGGCTATACAGAGAAACCCTGTCTCGAAAAAACCAAAAAAAAAAAAAAAAAAAAAAAAAAAAAAAAAAAAAAAAAAAATAACTTTAAAAAAAAACAACGAATAACAGTATATTGCTAGTACAGACATTTTAGCATTACAAAGGAAAATAAGACAAAAATACATTATTCATGATTCTGTCACCCAGAAACTATTTGGAGATCTCTTTCCAGTGCTTTTTTTTGTTGTATAGATCACAAAATAAATGACGTTGTTTTCTTTCTTTCCTGTTTGTCTTCACCTCATTCTGTACACGTTCTCTGTGTGCACAGTAACACTAACACTTAGAGCCACTGGGGCTGAGGGAGAACAGAGAAAGCCTTGCTGTTTCACCCAAGAGCTGGAAGCTGTCTCAGCATTGTCAGTGTGGTGGTACGATGAGATGAACAAAGCTTGGACTTTTACAAGTTATACTTTGGTGATGAGGGGTCATGATTTGTGTTGTAACAAACAAGGGGTGTTTCATCCAGAAGACAGTATATATTTGGGGTGGATTATCTCTAAAATGGATAGATTGAAAAACAGATATCTGCAAGAAAGGTGAAAGTTCACAGAACTGTGATGGGTGTGATGAGCAGACATCTCAGACAGGGTATTTGAGAGCCATCAAACCATGTTGAATGTTTGAGGTCAGCCCCCCCCCCCCAACACACACACACACTAACCACCCTCTGTGCTCTTGGCATGAACAGGATACTGTCGGAATGGTCCAAGCCTGCCTTGCATGGAAACTTCTGTTTTCCACTGTGGCTGCAACGATTGACATGAACTTCTCTAGGGCCTCCTGGCAGCTTCCTATTTTCCCAGGTGGGGCCAGCCTTGTGTTGTGACAGGACAGCTGAATGGAGCACGTGAGGATGAGCAGCACTCGGGGGTTGTAGCAACAGGTAGCCTTGGTTTTTCTGCCTCTCTGAGCATTGATAACTTCTTAAACCAATTCCACTCCTTCCTCTTCCTGAACTGGAACAGCAGGGAACCACCATCTTATCTTTTTTTACGACAGTCTTCTGATCAACACCCAAGAGTCCCTATGACCCAACCTCCTACCACCCATAGCAGCAGCTAGGAGGCAGTCACTATGGTTCAAGATGGGAGAAGTGGACAGAAGTGTGTGGGGCTCTCCTAGGAGGAAAGGGTCTTGTCGAGATAGCTCCAGAAGAGCCTCTATCACCATGGCACCAGAAGCCTTGATACCCCAACTCCCTATGTGGCCTGTCCTACTTTGAAGTATCTGTTAGGGATAGTCCTTTTGGTTCCTGCAAAGGTGCCAGAGCTTTATTTGTATGGAGAACAGGATTGTGGCAGTTAGGCAGAGTTGTCCTTCAGGATGAGTAGGAAAATGTTGATTCCAGAAGCCCTATAGACACCAAACTCAAATCTGTGAGTTTGCATAACCTACATAATACACTTATATACTTTAAATCATCTCTTGACTTCTCAAGGATTACATCATTTTAGAAAACCTTTTTGATCTCATAGCCAACCCTTATAACTTCACAACACACCTTTACAAATGTTACTGTATTTGATCTTCACAGTGACCTTAGGCGGCAGTTTAAATAAGGCTTACATAATGGGAAACCAAGACTCAAAAGTCAAATCAGCTGGTCAAGAAATAGTAGAATTCAGTGGCACAGACTGTCACCTCCCTCAAGCTCTTCTCCAGGGCCTTTTCTTTGCCCCAAGGCCATTCTTCTGCCTGCATGGTGACATTGAAGCTTTACAAGAGAGGTGGGGGCTGGGCAAAAGGATTCCCTCTGCTGTTTGATGACCAGAGAACGAATCTCTTCTGGAGCCAGCCTTATTTGGTATCAGGTACTGTAGACAGACCTGCCCCATCTTGTCTTCCAGAATTGTCCTGTATCCCAGATATCTCAAGCTCCTACTGTATGTATTGCTGGTCTTGATGGCTCTGAGCCAACTGTGGACCTGATTTTTTTTTTTTTTTTACCAGTCTCTTCTTCCCTGACCAGCCAATCCTAGAAAACATTGCTGTTGATAGGGACAGCCCTGAAAAACCATAGCCTTTGTTTGCTGTGGTCTTGGTGGAGATTAGTTTTCCTTTTGGCTCCAAAGCTTCACAGGAAATTTATATTCAGAGAAAGCCATGAGTGGGAAGCATTTTCCTGGTGTGTACCTTTTTTATCCATTAGCCTGTGAAGAAACAGCTTCAAAGGCAGGAACATGAGCCAGATCTTGCTGATGGTAGTCCTGACATCTTGAGAAGAAAAGCATGTAGTTATGTTTGAAGTTAGTGTCTTGAAAGCTGCAAGGACCTCGAACACGACTGGTTTGTCTCACATGCCCTGTGTTATGGAGTGTTGACATCTGCATGGTAAGCAGGTAGTACATGCCTACCTACCATGTACTCTTCAAGTGTCTCAGATAACCTAGAGTTTCTGTAGATGAGAATATAATTCCTAATAGAAAGCTTGGTTTCCTTACCATCAATGAAACTTGACTCTATATGTTTTTAAATGTTTCTTACATCACATAACAGACTGCTACCATCTTTCTAGGTATCGTTTGATCTTGACTCATTTTTTTCCGGCTTTCCTGGATCCTTCTTCCTCTCCTCTGCTGCTTCCTGGTATTAATCTCCTGGCTGGCTTGACAAGTCAAGAGGGAGACAGACAACTTCACACTTATAGAAGAAACAAACTACAGCTTGTGGGTTTTTAATTTTTTTGATTGTGGAAAGGACTTAAGTCACAACTTAAAACATTGCCCTGCGGTACCAGTTCCCTGCCCACCTTTGGCTTGTGCTGTAACTCTCGCCCAGAAGTACAACTGTGTAGAATGTCTGCTCTTCCTAATTGTGGTGGGAGAGTTTCACAAGGGGAGAGTTTCTAGAAACGTGACATTTGACTTTTAAGTATGAAAACTTACTTAAGTGTGTATGTATTCCCCCTATGTATTTCTGACTTTATCACAAGCTGATGGAAACAGACTAACTCTAAACTGAATTAATCATTTTGTGCTCTGGGTTCTTTGACGTGTCCGTTGACCTGGCAAATGCCTCTAAATGAATTATCATACTCATTATATTGTTAAGCAGCTGAAGACACATGCAGGTTCACTGTCTTGTCCAAGGTCACACTACTTGGTGAGACTACTTGGTCTGAGACTGACCGTGGATCTTTCTGAGTCCAGGTCCCATGTTCTCTGCTGACATCACTTGAGAAGTAGTTTGGACTCTGCAGAGTCCCTTTGCTCACTGTTTCCTACTGCACTAAAAGTGGGTCCTTCAGTGTAAATGTGGGCTTTCATTTTTTTCTTAACCAAATTCTATGTTTTTCATCTGTTCTGGATACAAGTAAAAGAGAAGTTTAAGAGGAAAACAAGGAGCTTCCAAGTCTGCCAAGCAAAGAGCCAGCTGTGGCATGACTCAGGGTTTTCTAGATTTAAATAAAAACTCTTAAAGTGTGGGGGAGCCTTTAATCTACAAGCAGGAGCAGTTTTCTCTGTGGAATACTAGGTAAGACTCAGGGACATATGAGACATTGCAGCAGTACAGTTCTTTTTCATGACTGGCCTTTGAGGTACAGTGTCTTCATTGGGATTTCTATTGCTGTGAAGGGATACCTTGACCATGGCAACTCTTATAAAGGACAGCATTTAATTGGGGCTGGCTTACAGTTTCAGAGGTTCAGTCCATTCTCAACATGGCAGCATGTGGGCATACAGGAAGACATGGTGCTGAGGAAGGAGCTGAGAGTTCTACATCTTGATCTACAGGCAGCAGAAGGAGACTGTGTGCCACACTAGGTGTAGCTTGAGCATAGGAGAACTCAAAGCCTGCCTACATGGTGACACACTTCCTTCAACAAAGCCACACCCACTCCAACAAGTTCTAATAGTGCCACTCCCTATGGGCCAAGCATTCAAACACAGGAGTCTATGGGGGCCATTCCTACTCAGACCACCACATGCAGTGACAGCCAGCCTCCTGGAAGCCATGAAGAAGTGCAGGTGGGATAGCCAAAGTCTTTTCAGGCTCTCCCAGCTGAGTCTCATTAGAAAGCTGGAAACTGTTCCCATCTCCCCAGTATGCATCAAAAACCAGCAGCCAATAAAGGAACAGACCAGGTGTGTTTTGTAGCTGAAAAGAAATGGAAAGGAAAAACAAAAACAGAAAAACAACAACAACAAAACCCCGCTTCGAGAGCATTGTCCTTATTTGACCTGTCTTGTGGCTTTCTGAAAAAAACTCCCCTTTAGAACACTGTCATTGTCTGACCTGACTTGGTGCTCAGAGCTTGCTCTTTGGGAAGAGTCCTATTCCCTATGTCATTTGTCAAAAACATCATAGCTTCTGCAAGGACTGTACAAGTCCAGCAAACAGTAACCTGAACAAAACATTGTAGGGAACATGTCGTGAGCTAGGTGTCCACATGAGGCTCTGGGGAACTTTGATTTACTTATAGGGAATGAGAAGGCTATACACATATTTAAGACTGTGTAAGCCCAGGAAAAGCCTGAGAGGGCTCCAGTCTCTCATCTCTGACTGACTGATGCCCTGGGAAAACAAATAAAGTGAAGCCTGCCCCAATACGCACAAAGCCCCTTAGCAAAGACTTACTGGAACTCTGTGTTAGTCACTGAGGTGGCTAAACAGAGCAATCCTAACTGCCTGCAGAGAATACAGACTTGACAGAATTAGTCCAGGAAAGTCACTGAAATGACTTAAAACCAGCAACATTTCCTAGGAGTTAGGGGAGGACAAGTTAATTTCCAGAGTTGTCACATTTATTATATTTTCTCTAACATAATGTTGATTTATTTTAAAAACACAAGATATGCGTTCACAGGAAATATGTTCTGAGAGTGAGCCAAGCAGTTGATGAGCCTGCCTTAGAGGAGGCTGAGTTTGTTCTACCAAGGTTTTAATCAGAACTTAGGAATTTATTCTGAGAACTAAAGCAAGCCGTCTGAATAGTGAAGGCATTGTGAAACCTCACAGGGTAGAAATAGAATTATAAAAGAACACACAGATGTGTGTTAAAAGGGACCAGATAAGAGGATCTCCCAGCTTCCCTCTAACAAGACCTAACCCGCTCTGTAAGTCAGTCCTACCTAACAGGTCATAAAACAAACATTTCAAATGGTCAAAAATATACCAAATTCATTCTGCAAGAACAGTGAAATGAAAATGGAATACAATTACAGAAGGAAATTTAAGTGGTTCACAAATATACAGAAATTAAACAACACAGCCCCATTAACCAATGAAGCCAAGGAAAAAATATGAGGGAAACTAAAAATACTTTGGGGCAAGAAAATAAAATAAGAACTTACAAAATGCTTGTGACAGTGCTTACCCAGTAAGATACAGAGCTGCACATTATGAAGTTAATAAAGTAGAAAGACCTCACCTTCCACCACAGGAAGTTCACTAGCCCCACAGCAAAGCAGAAGGGAGAAAGTACATACGGGCACAGAAAATAAAGAAATAGAGTCAGACACCAGAAACGTTGGCAAAGCAGAAGTTGGCTCCTTTTGAAAGATGGAAAGCGCCGGGCGGTGGTGGCGCACGCCTTTAATCCCAGCACTTGGGAGGCAGAGGCAGGCGGATCTCTGAGTTCGAGAGTTCGAGGCTAGCCTGGTCTACAGAGTGAGTTCCAGGACAGCCAGGGCTACACACAGAGAAACCCTGTCTCAAAAAAAAAAAAAAAAAACCAAAAAAAAAAAAAAAAGAAAGAAAGATGGAAAGCAGTTAACAAATTGTTACCCAAACTGACCAAGGGGGTAAAGAAGACTTAAATTAGCTACTGACCTCATAGAAATGGGAAGGGATTATAGGAATGACATAGGTATTGTAGATGACAGATTCCTGGATAGAAAAATTACAAAATCAGATCTCAAGAAAGAGATCTGAATAGACCACAGTGACAACGTTAAATTAGTAGCCTACTTTCCACAGGAAAAGCCCAGTTCCTGATAGCTTCACTGGGGAATTCTATTAGACACCGAACAATAAGATTGATCCTGCAAAGACTTTTCAAAAAATAGGAAAAGAAGGCATACTTCCTAGCTCAGTCCATGGGGCTCGTATTACCCCGATAAGCAGGCAATGGCATTACAGGGGGAGTCAGTTTATACTTTATGGACATAAAAATGCAAGAATCCTAAACAAGTAGCAAATAAATCCAGGAGGAAAAATTATGTATGAGCAAGTAGGATTTATTTGGAAAGAAAAGACTAAGTCAAATTGTAAAGTATGCCCTGCTAATAGAATAAAAGCAAACAACCATTCCAGCCACAAGAAGAGCATTTCAGAAAGTCTTAACGCCCTTTCATGACCGAAGTCCTCAGCAGTTTAAGAACAGGGCGCTGTCTCCATCTGATAAAAAAGCCACAGACAAGGTTGTGGTAGCATATTTCTTATGTGTATGTGGGGCTGTGAAAGTGTTTTGGGTAAACTTGGGTCAATAATGTATGTCATTAAAATTTATTTCACCTATGCTTAAGGTGGCGTCTAGGAAATTTTAAGTTGCATATAGAACTGAATTTATGGAATGCTCTTCATTTCCTTTGGATAATGCAGTTCTGTTCCGGGGCCACCAGGTTACAGCAGGTGGGTCCCTCACTGGCCAGTGGGGACTGGATGATAACGAGATGAGGGGCCAGAGGGATTGATGGGCAGAGGTAGAGAAGTCGACAAGGGATAAGAGGCGGGGTGGGAAAGCTTTGTTTGCGTGGTCTTCCCAGCCTGACTCAGGGCAGGAGAGAGCGGCATAAAGTGAGTGGACCGAGAACAGCTGAGGAAGAAGGCGGGTCAGGATGGGAAGGCCTGTGTTTGTCCACCTGTGCCTGCCTGCAATCTGTCCATGAGAAGGCACTTGTGGAAGGCCAACTAGGCAGTGGATACTGTCCCATAAAGAGTCCGGATCCTGGTGGCATTTGTCATTGTGGATGTGTTGTTAGGATTTTTGGTCAGGCATAAATCATTGCCTAATTTTTTTTCAAATTTGGAGGAAATACATTTATTTTTGAAACCTCTGCAGTATATAAAAGAACTTCATTTTTATATCAGCATCTGAGTTCTTTAGGGAGCACAACAATTAACATCTCCATGGACTGCTTGTCTCTTCTCTGATTGCTGTGGAAAAGCTTTTGTGTGACGTAATCCCACCTGTTATCTTGGCCTTTGTTGTCTGTACTTTTGGAATTAGATCCCAGAAAGTCTTTGATCATGACAAAACACACGTATTTTCTTCTGGTGATTTCACATTTGAACATTTTAGCTCATTTGGAGTTGATTTCATGTTGATTCAGCCCAGCAGCAAGTTATTGTGTGAGGAAATATCATTTTCCCCACAAACAGGGCATCTTCATGCTGCCCGCCTTCGTTCCCAGAGAGTGTTGGCATTGTGGGTGTGTCATACTGACTATCTGGTTGTGCTCTGTACTGCAGATGTCCTCAACACCCTTCTCACTGCTCTTTGTGGCAAAGATAAAAACACCATTGCTTTCAGAGAGTTTCTCAAAATGGTTTTGTTGTTTAGTTGACTTGATGTTTTAATGTTTAATTATTTGGGGCTCTGGAGGAATGGGGAAGCTGGAAGAGAAACACTCAGTACAGTTTTCTAATGATAAAAATAAGTCGTCAGAATAATTCGAGTCCCCAGTGAATGGCCTGCCGTTGTGGTAAGGCATGAGGAAGCTGTGTGGGGAAGGCTGTCAGCTTCCCTTTGCTTCAGACACAGGGAGGGGAGTAGTACTTGCTAGGCAAGAAACACAGGAGTGGGAACTTTGATGTTTTAGAAAGTTCTAACAGGACCAAACTTTCTAACTTGCATTTCAGGCTAGATGTGTCATTCCAGAAAGAATCTCACCCAGTTCTGACAGACGAACCTGCACCACTCTCTTTATGTAGCTTTCTTAAAACAGACTTGGGGAGCTGGGGGACAGAGTAGTGTCCCTCAGGGTGAGGTGTCCAGGGGTTCCTGTCTGTGTGCTTTGTGTATTCTGCAGCTTGTGTTTGGTGAGGAAGCATTAGGGGTGCCACACCTTCTTAGTTAGGTGACCCTTCAATCTTTATAGAGTGATTTTTTAAAGTTCCCTGGTAAGGTCTGTTAGCATCTGCTTCTCTTCCATGCTTCTTCAATCTTTATGTCTACCTGTGGGCAACATACAGTTTCCCTCTTGCTTTTTAATTCGGTCTGAGCCGTTGCCATGTGGATGTGATTACTGATGTAGCTGGGGTTGGGTCTGCTGTCCTGCTGCTTCTCGTTTATCGTGCGTGTTCTTTGTATCTATTTGCCCTCTTTCTTTTTAGTTAAATGAGTACTTTTTACAACTCAGTTTCATTTCTTTTATTGTCTTGTTTGTTACAGTTTGGGGCTTTTATACTTTTAGTGACTGCCATAGGGTTTCTTGTACACATTAAATGGTTGTGTCTGCCTTATCACTTCACGAATGGCACAAGAAACTCACAAGATATTCTTTCTTACATCTCCTCTGGACTTAAGTTGATATCATATACTTTCTGTGTACATATGATATAAACACTACTCTGAATTACTTTAACGTAAGGAGTCAACAGTCCTTAAAGAGATTAAAATAAGAACAACCCCCTCTTATTAGTCACACATTCTCCATTTGAGGTTCCTGTGTCTGGTTTCATCTGCCAGAAGGATTCCTTGTGGGGTGTGTGTGTGTGTGTGTGTGTGTGTGTGTGTGAGCATTCCTGATTATTTCTTTCAGCTCTTGTGTGTCTGAAGTTTTATTTTCCACTCTCCTTTTCCAAAGGTAGTTTCTTTACAGTTATGGTGATTTACTTTATGGATGTTTCTGGATTGTCTTCTGGCTTGTATTGTTTTCACATGCTTAGATGTCATACCTGGTCTTGCCTCTCTGCACACTGTGATGCTGTCACACACACACACACACACACACACACACACCCCACACACACATCACCTCAAGTTGGAAACATTTCCTATGTGCTTTTTCAGATAGATATGTTTGTCTTCTTATTGCTCCTCTTTTGAAGCTGGCTGGTAAGTAGATCAGTTTCTTTGTTTGTTTGTTTGTTTGTTTATTTATTTGTATGCTTTTGGAGCATTTTTGCTACCAAATCTTCAAGTTCATTTATCTTCTGCTATTAGTTCTTTCTGTTGGGTTTTTCTTCTCTAGCATTTCAATTTAGATCATTTAAAAGTCTTCTGTCCCTTTAACATTTTATACATGAGATATATTTCTATCCCGTTTTCCTTTGCTTCCATATAATACAAATCTCTTTCGCAATAACTGACCTGTTCCCCACCTCTCCTCATGGACCATACTTGTCCACATCTTTGAATATCTAGTCGTATTTGATTAAGTGCCAGACATGAATTTACCTTTTGCAGTGATGAATATTTTTGTATTCTTAAATATTTTTAGACTTCAAATATAAGTTACTTCGTACACTGAGTTGGACCTTTTAGCCATTGCTTTTTAATTAGTGTGACAAGATCTTAGCAGCTGTCAGTCATGAGCAATTGTTACTTCCTTCCAAGTACCTATTGAGTGTTCTACCATTTAATGCCCTGGGATCATGAAGAATAGGGAAAATGAGTGTGAGTTAGGATCTCTGCTTTTCATGGAGAGTCTCTCATGTGCATGTGGAAGTGAAGTGCAGTTTCCCAGTGATTACCCAGAGAGGCCCTGCTGCGCACACTTGGGATCGGATCTGTATCGGCCATCTTTGACTTGGACTCCGTCACCCTCCTGTCTTTGGAGCTCTCTATCACTTCAGCTCTAAGTCAGCCAGGCTTTGCCTCGCTCCTCTAGGACCTGGAAACCCTCTCAAGGAAGTAAACCAGGGCAGTCAGTGAGCCCACTACTGTTAGCTCAAGAAAAAGTTGTGGCTAAGCCAATGTTTGAACCTGCTTCCAATATCTGTGTGTGTATGGAACAGACAGAGCAAAGAGAATAAGCTCGGTTCCTCACCAAGACCTCTCTGGGTGCTCTTATGTAGATGGGCTGTGCCCCTTGATCACCTTCCTGGGGTGTTCTTGTGTAGATGAGGTGTGCCCCTAGACCACCTTCCTGGGGTGCTCCTGTGTAGATGAGTTGTGTTCCTTGGCTGCCTAGAGTCCCTGGTTTCTTTGGTGCCTGTGTTGAGTTTTGACTGGGCTGCTCAGTCTATTGAAGTTGTCATCCATCTTGGTTTTCATGTTTTAATCTATGTAATTAATACTTTGACAGTCACATACTGTAGAGGAAGCAGTACAGGAACTTGCTTTTTACAGAATAAAGTAAATCCATTATAGTTAAAGTCCTGAAGTCTGGCACCATTACACATGCAGATGTGGATCAAAGAAGAATGTCTACCGACAGTCCACAGTGAGTTTCAGCGGTCACTGTGAAGATTTCCACTCAGTGGGTTTTGATGCAGATGACCAGCCCATTGAAAATTAGTAAGATTTATTAAAAGTATCTTCTACCCAGGCTATATGCTGAATTGCCTAAATATAAATTTAACATATCCACAGAAAATATAAGAAGTGCACATATTTTTGAGGAAGAAGACTTTCTAAAGTATGACACAAAAGATACAAACATAATGAAAAATAGGGTTGTATGAAGATTCTCTATACTTAATATGGCAAAAGATAGTTATAAAAATAGAGCTAAAATACAGTTACTGTCTTTATTGTATAAAGGCTGTTCATAAGATAGTTTTTATTTAAAAAGTGACAACCCCACTGAGAAAATGACAAGGGATGTGATTAATTCGTGTCAGAAATGAAACCTAGAGAGGTCTAGTAACTGGTGTTTTTTAAAATGGCCTTCATAATAATATTTAGGATTTATTTTATATTTCTGTTCAATTATTGTGAGTGCCTTTGACTCCTTAGCTTAAGGTTGGTTTTGTTTTGTCTTTAAATACTGCCATTAGCATCTTCAAAAAGGAGATTAAGACTGGACACAAGAGCACTGACCAAGGTGACAAAGCTTAGGACATCTGACTCTAGAGCCTGCCCCTCATCCCTTCCCCTAGAGGCAAATTAAACCCACTTCAAATTTCACTGTAGCTTACACTGAAAATAGTTGTTCACTGAGGCTCACACGGCTGATAAATGATAAAGCATAATTTTTAAGAAGAAAAATTGATTAAGTGGAGCAGCAGAAGACAGGATAAAGCGAGGGCACAGCAGAGAAAGTGCCTTTAAGCTCCCACTCACTGTTTCCTTTCAGAATATTTGAAAGATGCCTCGAAGAAGAAGAAGAGCGGCCTCCTGTTTGTAAAGCTGGCCAACCCGCACTCAGGTGGGTCTGCTCCCCTTGGTCCTCCCCCTCATCTGTCTTTGAGTGTTTCCAGCACTGTGCAGACCATGGAGGGCTTGCCTGCCTGTGTGTCTTAAGACAGCATCATGCAGTGAAAACCCAAGCTGATTAATTTTCCAAGATAAACTATGCTTAACACTGCAAGGAATATCTTTTTCTCTACTTTTCATCCACAGAATGTTGTCATTAGAAATGCTGGCAACATAGAAAAGTAGTGTGTTTGTGCTCTTTCTGGGAACGGATTGATTTTCTTTGGCTTTCTAGTGCCAGCTTTTCTAGGAATGCTCACCCAACACCAGCCTGGCTTGTTATGTTCATGTTGTGGTGTGCAGTAAAGAACCAGAGTGCAAGTGCAGAAGGCAGTCTTTGACATGTCATAGCTCTGGCTGCTTCCTTTTTAGCTGTTCTTTCACTCTGACCAAAAAAGATAACCCCCCCCCCCCACACACGCACAAATGATGGTTTTCTTTTATTAAAATCATTGCATATGGAAAAGCTTTATGTCTTATTGGTAGGTAAGTTCATTGTAATTTTATATTCAGCATATTTTCAGTTTTCTAATTTAAAGGCAGAAGTATTACAGTGTACTCAGCCACGTGGCGACACAGGCTTTCCCTTCTGCTAACTTCTGAGGATCTGAGTAAACCCCTGATGCCTCTAAGTCATGGCTGTCCTGGTGACTGTGTAACTGCACAGCGAATGAGGGCAAGCCCATGGGTAGTGTCTTGTTGGAAAGATGTGTAAAGCAGAGAAAGTGAAACAGAACAGAACAAAGTCAAACACCCTGCCCCTCCCTCTAGTATCTTTCCTCGAGGTGAAATTGAATATGCCTGTTGAGCCACTGGACTGGAACAGCCAGAGCAGGGAGGAGGGATTTGGGAGAAGCTCTAGGCAGCCCTGTTCTAAAGCTCTTAGTAAGAGAAGCTGTGTCCTCTGCAACTCAGATTCCATCTAGATGTTCACAGACACGGACGTGTGTGTTTTATTTTCACGGCTGTTAAAGGGAAAACAAGGGCTAGGCCGTGCTCTAGGAAATGTATGGCTGTTTTTTCAGTCCTGACAAAACACCTCTGAGGTGGGCGGACTCAGTACTGCTCCGTATACAGACAAGCAGCAGAGGCATAGTAAGGGTTATTATGTAACTTTTCCATATCACACTCGGCTTGTGTTGCCAGAGATTCCAGAGATTGCTCTGTGGTCAGACATCGATGTCATGAATTGAGGGGTAAAACATCTATGCATCCCTTCTGTCCGCCTTCCCCCACCACACAGGCCCTGAGTTAGGGGTAAAACCTCAGATATGCACAGGCCTCACCCCTCCTGCTCCCACATAACTGATTTGCTGAGGATTGGATCCCAGACCTGGCGTATGCCGGCCAAGTGCTCTACTGCTGACCTCTAGCTCTCCCCTCCCCAATTTTAAAAGAATAAAATAGAAAATCATAACCAGTTGACTAAGCTTGAAGAGTGGCTGGTGGCATCTGAGGGTTTGTTCCAAGTCTTTTCTCCTGTATATAGAGCACTACATGCTGGCGTAGGGCCAGACCCAGGCACTAGCTCACACATCTGTCTGAACCATTAGATTTGTGCATTTTACTTTGATGGTTTATGCTCAGTGAGGATTATGGCGCTGAACTCAATGTCTGTGCCCAGTATCCATCAGCTTGCCGGGGAGTCTGCTAGCATAGAGCATGGCTTGCCGGGGAGTCTGCTACTATAGAGCATGGCTTGCCGGGGAGTCTGCTAGCATAGAGCATGGCTTGCCAGGGAGTCTGCTAGCATAGAGCATGGCTTGCCGGGGAGTCTGCTAGCATAGAGCATGGCTTGCCGGGGAGTCTGCTAGCGTAGAGCATGACTCCGTATGTTTAGGCTCCTATTTGCAGCATTCCTCAGGACTGGTGGACAGACTTTTGATGTGCATATCTGTGTGAGTTTATGTCTGTGTGTGTGTGAAAAGTGACAAATACTAAATTCGCCTGTGTTACAGAGGAAGGAGCCATTTACTTAATTGATACCTGTCTACAGCAGCTGTTTGAAATAAAAGTTTTCAAGGAAAAACACCATTCTTGGTTTATAAATCAATCGGTTCAATCAGGTAAGTGACAAATTATATTCCCACCATTAGCTAAACACACACTTCTCATCTCATGTGGGCCTGTGGGTCCATCCTCCCCAGTGTGTAACTGGGGACCCTTCCTGGGTATCAGAAAGGACTTGGGTTAAGTGAAGCTGAGTCAGGTTGTCGCATGTTAAACTGACAATCCTGATTTATCTCCTAAAACACCAGCAACATCCTCTGCAGGAGCTGGGTGGCACATGTGCCATGGAGTGCATGTTGGGTTGATAGGAAACACTTCCTTTATAGGCATTTTTAACATATTATTTCCTTGAGCAAACTGATACAATTTCTAAAACATACTAGAATGTGATAACTTTTTAAATAGATGGTTTCTGCTGTTTTCCTGTCACTGTTGTGTAATAAGCACACACCTTAGACTGTCTACTCATCAGAAGAGAAGTTGTTCTGTGGTTCAGTTTGGAGGTTTTACTCTACAGTTCCTTGTGCCGGTTGTTTTTGTGTTACAAATTCATGGTGGCACCATGTGGCAAAACCATTCACTTCATGGCCAAGACGGGGAGGGGGCGGGGGGAGTCAGACCCCATGGTCCCTCCCCCTCCAAGGGATCTAATGTTGCCCTCTTGGACCTCAATGGGTACCTGTATTCAAGTGCACATGCATACACACACACATACATGCATAATTAAAATAGAGTATAAACCTAATTTCTTTTTGGAAATGAAATGGAGTTTCTATATAGCCCTGGAGGTGGGAAGCATACTGTCCCCTCCACTGTTGTCGCTGTGCCTACTCTGAGGAGTACAGGAGAGCTCCAGCTTCTGCTCTGGCACGCTTAGCTGGCCGTGGCTGATAGCTGCAGAGCATCAGATGGAGACTGGAGAATGTAGGGAGGCAGTGATGGAGCCTGGATAGTCCGGCTCACAGGCCACTCTTTCTCATCGACTTTTAAAAAACAGTTTGGTTTCATTTTGTTAGTCCTGACTACCAGGAGGTTGTTATTCAGATCAGAAACTGAATTTCCTGCCATTTCCTGCAGATAATGGAAGTGTCATGTAAAATGATTCAGAGTGTCCAGTGGGTTGTTGACCGACCTGCTTTTCCAAGTAATCAAATGGCATCATAATGTTAATTATTTGCTTACTACACACTGACACAACTTAAGTTAGGGTTTCTTACATGTGTAGATAGGTTTCTTTGTTAGATATTAAAGATAAGCACATGTCTTACCTTTCCTGAAACCAAAATTAAAAGGCTGGGGAGAGGCAAGAGAACTGCTCAGAGGTGCAGTGACGACCACACCTCTCCTCCAGTGTGAGAGAGGAAGACACAGAGCTCTCCCTGGAGGGCATCATCTAGGGTCTTGGACTGCACAGGGAGCCTTGCCCATCGCCCACAGTCCACAACCACGAGCCACAGTAGAAGCTCCAGAGCATGCTGGGCTTTCCCAGGGCTTCACCCTCATGCACGGGAGGTAGTGGGTCTGTAGGTTTACAGACTGTCTGACATGGCCACCTGAGCTCTCTGGCTCACAGTTCTCCATGCTCCCCACATGTGCTCCCCCACACTTTTCTCTTCAATGAGACCTGTAGAAAATTATTCCAATGTTGAAATGAAAAGTCATTTTAGCTCTTGTCACTCGGGGACTTGAAGCTGTTTAAAGTAAAAGCTCATGGTGGTGAGTCTAGACTGAAGAAGGCTATCTGACTGTAGGAAAGGAGTGCATTTAAACCAAGGTATTTCTTCACACTGAGTCACCTGATGGAAAGCACAAGCTGCCACAGGGGCAGATGCCACAGGGGCAGATGTCACAGGGGCAGATGTTACGGCCAGTGCAAGAAGAATGTCTGAATGTGGGGTTTCACGGACAGCTCCCCCTGTGGGGTGGGATGACCAGTGGTCCTTGTAAGGCATACACCTCTCTTTGTTTTTTTCTTCTGCAGGGGGCCTTCTCCACTTTGCCACACCCATGGATCCTTTATTTCTGCTCCTTCACTATCTCATAAAGGCTGGCAAAGAGGTGAGCTTCCCACACGGGGTGTTTGCAGGGTGAGGGTGTGGAGGGGGGGAGACAGTGCTTCTCTTTCTTTTTTTTCAAGGTGCACTTCAGTCATTAGTGTACCAGAGAGGGTCAGAGTACCCTGCCCTCCCTCCCGAGAAGCAGCACCTTGTTGGTGATCAGGTTTGATCAAGTTACTGTGACCTCAGTGGCCTGGCTTGCCACTCTGTACTTCAGTGGTAGCCAAGCATAGCAATGAATAGCAATGAAAACCTTTCACTAACTGCTTAGTTGTGAATGTTAAGAATTTGGCTAGGAAGGAAAGATTTATCTTCTTAGGTGACTGTCTGAGAAATAGGTAAACTGGGTTCTGCCTAGTAATCGCTGACTAGTGGGGAACTTATGTGTGTTTGGTTAGGACTTGAGGACCCAGAGCAAAAGCACTCCTTTCTCTCAGTTCTCAGTCTGGGTATTTCTGTGATGATGTCTGTGCCTCGAAGTGGTAAGTGTACTTCCCTCACACAGAGCGGTGAAGACTCTGCATTCAGGGTCCAGACTTAAGTAAAATTCATTGCTTTTACTACTTGAGCAAGGATATCAGGTTTTTAACTTGTTTGGTTGGTTGCTTCTTGTTTTTGTTTGTGTGTATGTTTGAGAAGATATCTTTTATGTGTATGTGTGCCTGGTACCCGTGGATGCCAGAAGAAAGCATCCCTGCTCGGGGAACTAGAGCTACAGGCAACTGTTAGCTCCCACATAGTTCTGGGAACTGACCCCAGGTCCTCTGCAAGATCAGCACATGTTCTTGACCTCTGAGCCATCTCTCTAATCTCCCCCCCCCCCACCCTCCAGCAAGGATCTATTAAGTGAAACTGGTAATTTAAAAACTGTAAGAATACAGTGAAAGCTGGGGTGCTGGGGTGTCACTGCCTTAACTCCAGCTAAGGAGCCCGATCTGGCTCAACATCGTTTCGGGTACCAGCATCACGTCAACCTGATGGGAATGCAGGTAGCCACTTAGAATTATTGTGAATATAGATTTGAGCTTGGGACTTCTTAAAGGAGAACTGGGGACACTCAAGTGTCCCTCAGTCAGCTTAAAAACCTTTGAGTTCACAACTTTAATGAGTATTAGTTGAACTGCTTAGATAGAACAATCTATTTCTTGGGCTCTCATATTTTCATATAGAGTAAATGCTTCTGGTTCATTGTATTTGCTCTTTAAGCCAAATTCTTAAAACTATTTTATAGGTTAATTGACTTTAAGTTGTCATAAATACTGAAAATCACAAAACTCACCCAAAGCTCTTATTCCTATTTTTTTTCTGTACATTTTCTTCTTTCCTCCATTCACTCCCTTTGCTCTTGTCTGAGAGCTGCAATGACGGCCAGTATACTGGGGGGCACACAGGGCAGTGAGGCTATTAAGACTCATGCCTCTGAGCCACAGAGATGCTTCTGACTATTGCCAGGAAGCTATGGGAGGATTCAGGGATGAATTTGAAAACTTGAGCTTGTTCACAAGGGTGATGTTCTCTAGGGTAAACTAACAGGGAGAAGTGTACCTCAGCTTAGCACACGATACTGCTTCCCCATTTCCTGTTAAGAGCAAGACCTGGGTTTAGTGCTCCTCAGGTTGATCTTCTGGGAGCTGCTAAATTCAAGGTGACAGATGCAGAGTGAAGCAGAAATGATGCTCTCCAGAGCCTCTGTGCCTTTTCTTCTTAAGTCCTGGATATGTAGCACATGGTGTCTAATGTTTCTTCCCTATATTTAGATGTGGTCATGTCTAATTTAGTTATTAAATTTTTGTTCCCACTTTTGAATTCAACTTGTTCTTTTTAAGCACAGCCTTTCACACCAACTCTTATTAACTTTTTATTTAAAACAAATTTCTTGTTTTGCTCATTTATGGACATGTGGAAAAGAAAATAAGAATATAATAGCAATAATAAAATTTCTATTGAGACTATAGTGCTGTGTGTGTCAGTATTCCTTAAAGCAGCTAAGTATAAAAATACTGTTGATCATGGGAAACAAAGCATTCAAGTAGAAACCTAAAGAATGTAACACTGAGGGGCCTGGGTTAGATGGTAGAGCATTTCAGTCAGGCATGTCTGGCCTTTTAGCCTAATGGAAAAATATAACAAGTTATCATGTGTACTGTGAAAGAAGTGAGAGGATTCACCTTGAAAACCAGAGAAAATCAATCAGTCACACTGTCTGTCTCTAGAAGTTTGGTCTCAGAAACAGAGGCAGAGTGGGACCTGGACAGACAGTGCATCTGCTCCTAAGCCTGGCTCCCTCATCAGACTGTCTTCATCAGATACGCTTTCCCTTGCCATTAGTAGAATTAAGAGAAACTGCACCTAAGAATGTCTGCATGGCTCACTCCTAACAGCCAGGCTGTCAGCTTGTCTGTCTGGCCTGTCTTAGCCTGCCTGCCTCTTCTTTGTAGTTACCTCTCAGCTGACTTTTCTTTTATTTCTGTCTAATTTGGAAGCCTCAGCTGATAGCTCTCAGAGGAATCGTTTCACTTTGGGAATTTTTCTTTTTGGAATAGAGGGCTATTTTTTTTTTCATCAGCCCTGGAGTGAAGTCAGAGAAACAGATGTATATTCTGGGTCTGGTCTGGGCTTGTTCTAGGCTTGTGTGACAATTGGAACTTCTGCTTTGGGTCCTTCAGCTGACTCTTCTTTATGTGGAATAGCTGGACCATCCTCAGATAGTTCCCACCATCTTTTCTGTCCTGTCTCTCTTTATGTTTCCCTGGGATTTTCTTTTTCACACAGGGACTGTACCCTCAAGAGAGCTAGCTTGCTGTTTGGAACCCCTCCTCACAAGAGGGCGTGACCCTTGAGCCTTTCCCAGTTCAGAGGCTCCTTCAGTGGAATGAGGAGCTCAGGTTCTATGTAAAGAGGTTCTGTGGAATGGTCCATTTTTCCCCCTCTTCTTCTTGTGTGAAAGCTCTGTGACTGGACTGTTGGCCCCCTGACTGACTCAGATGTTCCTTTCAGGGGAAGTATCAGCCCTTGGATCAGGTTGTAGTGGATGACACATTTCCAGATTGCATCTTGCTGCTGAAATTTCCTGAGCTTGAGAAGTCACTTCGGCATGTGACAGAGGAAAAAGGTATGGTGTACAAGCCTTTGAAATCAGGCTGTGGATATGTGGATCTGTGGGGTTTTCAATAGGGAGAGTTAAGGGATAGAATATATTCTGGAGAAGCTAAGGTGCTTAGCCAGTTGTCGACTTAGAAGACTGCTCTGAACTTAGTGGGTGGAGCTAGAGGGGAGCAGCTGTTTTGATATAGAACCATCTGCATCTGGTGATGTAATGGTGCTCCTATGAGAGCAACAGTCAAAAATGACTCTGGGCCTGAGCCTCAGCCTAGCCCAAGAGACATGTACCAGTGGCATCCAGGAGACAGAATGTGGATCAGAGGAGCAGGCTGGGTGAAGGTTATAGGTCCTAGTCCCAGGTGTTCTGAAAGCAGGAAGTGAGCGATTCGCGTGCTGGTCCATGCAGTGATGGGCTTCATAAAGACATTTCTATTCAAGTGTCTCATGAACGTTGAGACTTAAGCACTGTATCAGGTAAGAATGGAGAGAGCAGACACCCTCACCTCATTCCCAGTTTTAGAGGAAATACTTTGAGGTTACTCCATTTCATTCTGTTCTCCTCTTGGCAGATGTCTTAGAAGGTTCAGTAGTAATATGAGGAAGAGAGAAGGCAGGCGACTGAAGAGTCACCGTGAAAATGCCTTTCTTCCTTCATAGACAGAATCGTGTGTGTACAAACCCAAAGGGACCCACAAAACAGTAGGATTTAGGGTAAGCAAGGTCTTGGGATGCAAGGTCACGTACAGGTAACAGCTTTGTGTGTGTATGTGTTACAAAGTGCAGTGTGAGAGGGACTTTTCAACCATATGTCCACATGAAAATAATGGACGTTGGTAGAAAAGGAAACTCAAAGTAGCTTGTTGGATTAAAGGCAAAAGTAAAAATGATTTAACTTCTAGGAGAAAAAGGACCAAAACCTGTATGATCCTGAAGAACTCCAGCATTTCTTAAGACACAGAGCCACCAGTATAAAAAAGTGTATCTTGCCTTTCAGCTAGTCAATAGTTTTTAAGACATAATTATGACCACTCGACAGTTTTATGTGACTCAGTAGTTCTACCCCTAATTCTTTTTTCTAGGCATATTAAAGTGTATGTCAGTGCAAAAATTTGAGTGAAGGTGTGACCTTTCTGTTGCTTTGTTTTAAATAGCAACCATCCCAAAATAGAACAAATGACTCTTTCTGATGGTTCAGAAATGTAGTCTCCATAGCCAGGACCACACCACTATGCTAAGGAAGGAGCTGCTGCAGACAGCAGCATGGATACATTGCTCAGAAACTGTCGGGCACACTCCGCATGACCCATTTCTCTGAAGCTCTAGAACTGTGGTTCTCACCCTGTGGGTCTCCTCGATCCTTTGGGGGGTCATGTATCAGATACCCTGCATAGCAGGTATTTTCATAAATACCCTAGCAGGTTTTTACATAAATACCACAGCAGGTGTTTACATCAAGAAGATATATATACAGTGCCTGCTGTTTACAAGTGCCATTGTCTGGGTTTTGTTTTTTGTTTTTTTTTCCAGTTAGTTTGTGGCAGGCACTGTACTGTGGTTTGTGTGTGCTATCTCCTTTCGTGTTCACAACAGTCCCCTCAGAAATCCCCGACTCCTTTATACTGGAGTAAGGAGGTTTGAGAGTGATGGTTCCAGGGTGACAGTGTGAGCTGGATGTACATAAACCCAGCCAGGCAGCTCAGTCCGACTCTACCCGAAAAGGTAGGGGAGCCTACCTGGAGGGGCTCTGGAAGTAGGGGTTCTTCTAGGTTATTGGAGATCAGAGCAAAAGAAGTGAACAAGAGAGGTGAATTTTTCACTAGAAACTTCAGCACTGAGGGTTTCTGGGAAGTCTCTTAGGGTGAGTGGAGCTTCTAACAAGTCACTAAACTGTATGCCTGCGTTGAGTGGCTGAGTGCTCGGTGTCTGACTTGTGTACAGGGTAAGAGATGGCCTCCGAGGAGTGTAGTCCAGGCTAATAGCCTTATACCTCAGTGGGCCATATGACCAGGCAGCCCTGGCCCTAGAGGAGCAACAGTTCTCAGCCCTGTGGTAGAATGCCTTTCCTCATTGTGTTTCCAGTAATATCCTCAGAGATGCTGTGTAGGACGGCCCCTCCCTGTCCTGCTTCATTCATCTGGTCCTTCATGTCGTCAGCAGCATACCGCATGCTGCACTGGGGAGGAGACACACTGACATGAGGCTCAGGATCATTTAATAGACTTCAATAAACTACCTTAGAAAAGCAGTTTCCATTTTCTAAGGCCCAGAGCAGGAGAGCAGAGCTCATTCTGTCGACTCCCTATGGGTCTGCACTGGCTGTAGGCTTTCCAGTAGTCATAAACATGACTCCTGCATGGCTGTAGAGAAGGCCTGGTGGGAGGAAGAAGAGAGCCTCAAAATAAAATGTGTCACACGGGAGGTCCCTGTTTAATGACTCAGAGTATAAAGCCAGGTGCATTGTGAAGAAAGGACGTATCATTTATAAGACGTGGAATTTTCATCCCTGTCAAGGACCACGCTGAGGTCACCATGGATCTAAATCCCCCTGATTATATTGGTAATACATCAAGAGGAAGACATGTCTGTGCTTTTAGGGGTCACGAATCCCACCAGGGAAGCACTCAGTAGATACTAAGATTTTGACCCCGCCCCCTTTAAATATGTACGGTATTTTCCCAGCTGCCTGTCTTACTTTGATTCCCACCCCAAACCTTGGGATTTCCATTCTTATTGAAAAGGGATGTGTTTTATTGAAAATATTGAAGTGGATTGTTCATAAAAAATAAGATTGCTTAGCATATTCGTTGGCTCCCTTTTAAAAATTGCTTTCTTGTGGGTTGTTTGTATGAGTTGGGATCCTTTAACTCCTGCTCGCTTGGTGCTGGGTGATTTCCGAGGCAGCCAACTCTGCTTAGGATTTTTTTTTTTTTTTTTTTTTTTGAGACAGGGTTTCTCTGTGTAGCCCTGGCTTTCCTAGAACTTGCTCTGTAGACCAGGCTGGCCTCCAACTCAGAAATCCACCTGCCTCTGCCTCCCAAGTGCTGGGATTAAAGGCGTGGGCCACCACTGCCTGGCAGGATTTTATTTTTTTAAGACTATATCAAGTATGTTCTCAGGTTTGTATCCTGGGTTTTTGAATAATACACACTGCTATGTAATGTCTAGGTTACTGATCTGTGTACGTGTCTGTGTTATAAGTCTCCGGCTTGTTTTAGTTTAATGCATTTTACTGAGATTCTTACTTTTCTCTTTTAATTCAATACAGAAGTGAACAGCAAGAAGTACTATAAGTACAGCTCAGAGAAGACACTGAAGTGGCTGGAGAAGAAGGTGTGTGGCCTCACAAACTAACATAGACCAGATCTAGGACCATCTTGGACATGCAGAAAAAAAGGCCTATAGTGAGCCGAAGTCGATCAGAACCTGGTTTTCTTTGATTGCATGGTCCTGCCCCTGAGTGCCAGGAGCTCTTGTTAGATATTGCTCCCATAACTGGGGAGGAGCAGGTTAATTCTAGAGTTGTTTCTCTCCATTCTCACAGTGACTCCCGTTAGGTTGTGTAGGTCTCAGAAAGCCCTTGTGTTGAGATCATTCAGCACTCGGCTCCCTTCTTTGACTGTGCAGCCATCTCTTCTGACAGCTGGCGTCTGAGGCACTGGCCTCTTGCTGTGAAGAGGCACCATGACCAAAGCAACTCTTATAAAGGAATGTATTTAATTGGAGGTTGGCTGACCGTTCAGAGGTTTAGTCCATTCTCATCATGGTGGTGAGCATGGCACTGGGGCAGTAGCGGAGAGCTACATCCTGATCCACACACAGAGAGAGATGAGAGACTGGACCTGACATGGGCTGTGGAAACCATACTTCCTCTAGCAAGACCATACCTACTCCAACAAGGCTATGCCTCCTAATCTTTCTAATTCTAAGAGTTTCACTCCTTGGTGACTAAGCTTTCAAATATATAAGTCTACGGGATCATTCTTACTTAAACTACCATAGCTGGCAAAAGTAGTTCTAGGTGCTTAAGTATTTCCTGGCTATCAGGTGGACCAAAGCCATCTGAAGAGCCATTGCACTGTAAAATTAAGTTGGAAGTACATCCTGTGTTTACCTCCTAGGTCAACCAAACTGTGGCGGCATTGAAAGCCAATAATGTCAATGTTGGAGCGCGGGTACAGTCGTCTGCATATTTCTCTGGTGTTCAGGTTTCCAGGGACAAGGAAGGTAAGCCACAGGTTGTCACCAGGTTAACCTCTGTCAGCTCTCTGAGGGTTTCAAACTGTAGGAGCTTCCTGTTCTCCCGTGTGCTCACAGATGTGAGCAGGTGTTCCTCTGATCTCAGACACTGACTGTTTCCAGCCTTAGGTCACTACTTGTGGCCTAACTGTGACCAAACAAATTTTTGAATCATTTGTTAGGTGAACAGGGTTTTATACTAATGGTGATAGTATCCCACTCAAAGTGTTTCTAACATGACAGGTATACCAGGCATATCAGAAGAGGTAAGGCTGTGCCAAATTCCTAGCTAGCAAACAGTGAAGCCACAGGACTGCTGATGGAGGCTCTCAGATAGACTGTATGACCTTTGGCCTTTGGCCTGAAGGTCATCTTGCCTCAGGGCCCAGTGGAAGGTGGCTGTATACATTCTCAGTATCTCAGTTCTCCTGGGAGGGTTCTTTATGTTTTAGCAGTGAAAATTAACTCACTTGGCAAATGTTTCTTTTGGGTTTCTATTTCTATCTTTTCTTACTTCCCTTTCTTCCTTTCCTGTATGCATCTGAACTGAACCTAGAGTCTCAGGCGTGCTGGACAGACTCCACCACTGCATCCTGCTTTGTATTTTAAGACCAGATCTCATTAGAAACACCTTTTCTTACAGATTATTAAGGTACATTAGTTTGCTTTTTCCTACAAAGAAACCCTTTATCTTTCTATATGTAGTTAAATAAAAACAGCTATGTAATGCAGTTCACATTCTTCAGTGGTGGGACAGAAATTCTTCTGACCTTAAATCCACATCAGCATTTACTTGTTCTGAGTTACAATTCCCAATTTCTCACATCAGCCATAAACAAAATGAGCACATGGGCTGGGGACGTAGCTCAAGAGTCAAGTGTTGCCTGCACACAAGGCCCTGGGAGGAGTCCCCAGGCACTGTGGGAAACTAATAGAGTCAGTGCACAAAACAGCACAAGGAACAGTGCTTGCTTTGTATCTGTTTACATCTGATTTCCAATACCTAGCTTGTAGCCAGAGCTGCTGCTGGGAGTGGTGGGCAGCATGTTTGCTGGACTCAGTACACCGGTAACCAGTGTCTTTAGTGTCTTTAAGAAGAGTCAAGTCAGACAGAAGTCTGAGTCAAATTGGTTGATGGGTGGATAGATCAAAGCAATCAATCAATGAGTAATTTATATTTTTTAAGTAGGAAGAAGGATGTTAGAAATTATTTAGATATATCTAATTTTAAAAGATAGAAACCTGTGGTCCCAGTGAGGTAGGTGACTTCTCCTGGCTGATAAGTCTTGCTCTGAGTGCAGTGCTGGCAGCAGGCCTCCCCAGCAGAGGTTCTGGCTGGCCTGTCCTCACTCTTGCACCATGAAGCTGCCTTATGCACTTTGCACTGTTCTTGTCAAGTGGATCCATCCATAATGGCAGGAACTTGTACCAAGTAGTGTCAGACAGGAAGCAGAGTGAAGCCAGAACCAAGAGCAGGCATTTCTTTCAAAGCCCTCCTCTACTGCTGATGTCTGCCCCTCCTCCCTTGGGCTCCACAACCTTCAGACCAACACCACCCACTCTAGAAACAAACATGCCTAGAACATGAGAGCCTATGGGACACCGCAGACTCCAACCTAACAGCACGGTGTGAGAAGCAGCAGGTGAGCTGGCTGTGTTGCGGCTTCCGTACAGTAGTCTGGCACTTCCTGTTCCCACTGAGTACTTCTACCCAGAATCACAGCACATTTTAAGGAGAGTCTGATGAAAATTTTCAGTTTTGTATCAACTGAACTCTCTGATTAAAGACCAGACTGTCGTTTTTAAAGTGCTGCTGATGAACACGGCTCCCTTGCCAGGAAGGCAGGGACGGACCTGGACACAGCTTTGTACACACGTGCCTGTGTGCTTTTCCCATCCTTTGTTGCACACAGCCTTCCTCCCATATTCCATACATACTGAGCTATGATTGGCATTTGGAAACATCCTTTTTAGCTGTATTCCATTGACGTCAGAGCTGTAGTTTGCTTGGTTCTGAACACTAGAATTGTTAATGATTCTACATTCTGCTGAGTCCATTGTTCTACCTGTTCTGTTGCTGTGGGAGAGTGTGGATGTGTGGGTGTGTATAAATGTTTGAATTCTTACAAAGCAAATGCCTAGAAGATAGAACTCATGTAAATGATTTTACTTATTTTGCTTTATTTCTTTGAGGGGAGCATACTCATTCTGTTCAATATTTAGCTTTTTCTTTTTCATTTTTTTTATTGGCTACTTTTTTTTAAATTTAACATTCCAAATGTTATCCCCATCCCAGTTTCCCCTCCACAAGCCCAGTATTCTCTACCCCTCTCCTGTCTCTATGAGGGTACTCTCCCACCCACCCACCCTCTCCTGCCTCAGTACCCTAGTGTTCCCCTATCCTGGGTCATCAAGCCTCCACAGGATCAAGGGGCTTTCCTCCCAGATAAGGTAATCTGCTACATATGCAGCTGGAGCCATGGGTAACCCCTGTTTACTCTTTGGTTGGTGGTTTCATCTCTGGGAGCTTTGGGGGTTCTGGTTGGTTGATATTGTTGTTCTTCCTAGGAGGTAGCAAACCCCTTCAGCTCCTACAATCCTTGCCGTAACTTCCCCATTGGGGTCCCCACACTCAGTTTAATGTTTGGCTGTGTACATCCTCATCTGTACTCGTCCAGCTCTGGCAGAGCCTCTCAGGGGACAGCTATACTGGGCTCCTGTCAGTAAACACTTCTTGGCTTCAGCAATAGTGTCTGGGTTTGGTGTCTGCAGATGGGATGGACCCTTAGGTAGGGCAATCTTTGGATGGCCTTTCCTTCAGTCTCTGCTCCACTCTTTGTCCCTGCATTTCCTTTTGACAGGATTAATAGTTTTGATTAAAAGCTATAAATCGTCACACATGAAACTTTAATACCAACTACTAATATCTTGAAAATTAACCAGAAAAAGTCTTTAGAACATATTAAAGATCTTTTTAAAGGAAAGCTACATCATATGGGTGGACCCATCCCTCAACTAGGGGCCATGCTTATCCACTGGATATGGTTTCTACAGGTTCTATCTTGCCTTTGTGGTATCTCAGCTAATGTCCTCCCTGTTGGGTCCTGGGAACCTCTTGGGTCCCTGGCATCTGGGACTTTCTAGTGGCTACCCCCAGATTCCCCTTCCCCACTGCTGCACACCTACTTTCAAATTCCTGACCCTCTGTACTTCTCCCCCATCTCCTCCCATATCTGAACTGGCCCCCTTTTTCCCTCCCCCTCCTCTAGCTTTCTTCTTTATTAAAGCAAGTATGTGAAAAAGAAGCCATTAAAAAGACATGCAAATAGTTCATGCAGTTTCAGCTGGTGTGCGATTTTGCTTATATTTGGAACTTCACCTGAGAAAGCTGGCCTGGGTGTGTTTGGTGTGTGCAGTGGTATTTAGGCCCATCCACTGTGCAGTCACGTCTGTGGCAGCAGCTCACATTGCATCTGATCCACTTTGTGTCTGTCTCCCTCAATAATGGGCAGGTCTTAGTACCCCTGTTTCTCCAGTGCAGAAACTGAAACTAAAGTTTAAGTGAATTTCCAAAACCACATAGAGCAAGAATTTGATTTTGAGTCAGTTTGACTCAAGCCACTATTGATTATTACTAATTATTTTTCTTTCATTCCTTATCCTGTTTCTTTCAGAAGATTATGTTCGATATGCCCATGGTCTGATCTCTGAATACATCCCTAAAGAATTAAGTGATGATTTATCCAAGTTCTTGAAGTAAGTATCATCCATCTTCTGTCCTAATTCTCAAGCTCCTCTGTCTTTCTTTCCGACAGGAGGTTTCTCTGTGGCATGGCATGGCAGGTTGTGATGGGCTGTTACCATGGGCTGTCTCATACTGTGTGAACTGGAAATTTTTTCTAATGAACATTAAATAGAATGAGTTGATTGGCTAGAAACTGATTTTAACAACTTAAATTTAGCCTTAAAATTTTATTTTGTGCAGTTTTAGAAAAAAGTCATGTATTCAAATTTTATTCCTATGACAGTTAATTTGGTTCTTTGTGGTCATTTTAAGAGAGATGGGAAGTGAAAAGCAGATGGTAATAGTTTTAAATTTGCATGTAAAGGTTCCATAGTATGTCTCATTCACAGTTACAAGGTCTTCACAGTGCCGAGTGCTCAGGTCACTGCAGAGCCATGTCCTGGGGGCTGACAAGTGGCTGGTCTTCAGGACAACGTGATTTGTAGCCTTCCTTTAAAAAGATCTTTAATATGTTCTAAAGACTTTCTTTTTCTTGTTAATTTTCAAGATATTAGTAGTTGGTATTAAAGTTTTATGTGTGACGATTTATAGCTTTTCTTAATCCTGACTAAATCCTTTTTCGTCTTTACTCTGTAATAGGTAATAATATAGTTCCTAATTACAGCAAACTGTGTAGGTCCTACTGTCCTGTTTGCTTTTTGTTGCTGTGCTATATTACTAACCAAAACCAACCTGGGGAAGGAAGGGATTATTTCATCCTACAGTCCATCTTCAAAGGAAGCCTGAGCAGGAACCTGGAGCAGAAACCATGGTAGTAAGAAACACTGCTTCTTAGCTTAGGCCCTCCTCCCTGGAGATGGAGCTGCCTGAAGTGGGCCCTTCTTCATCAGTCTAACCAGTCTCTCACAGATGCCCACAGGCCAGTCAGTCTGTTCTAGACAGTTCTTCAGTTGAGGTTCCCTCTTCCTGGGAGAGTCTAGGTTGTGTCAAGTTGACAATAAAAACTATCCAGCACATCTACTTCAAAAAATTACAGGGGGAGCTGGTTTCTTTACTAGTTACAGATGTGGGAAGCTTGCACTTACTGTCTTTCTGCTTGATGTTTCTCTGGATTCCCAAGTCTTGATAGAGGCTGTTGTTTTCTCCGTTTCTTGCATTTACCTTTTCTTTCCACTGAAGTTTAACTTAAATATTTTGGGTGAAAGATAACACAAAGTAAACTCCTCGTTGGTAGAAAAAAGGTGGCATTCATGTGGTTTTCCCAACAGTCAAATACTTTTCACTTTTAAATAAATACTGCAGTGTCATTTATGAAGGAAACAATGCCCCTCCACCAAAATGCAATCATGGTAGCGAAAGCAAGGCTACTCACTTCAACAGATGAGTTCCCACTGTGTCTTCTCATAGACATCTCCATCCATTCATTCAGTGAAACTGCCTTCTTCACTGGGGTGAAAGTCAGAACTCCCCACCAGATGAGACTCTGTAATCCTTGGCCTTGTCTATGAGAAGCCATGACCATGATTCTTATTTTAACTTCCTTAGGCTTCCAGAACCTCCAGCTTCATTGCCAAACCCTCCATCAAAGGTAAGAAACTGGGACTAAGATATCTTTAGGGATTTAGAAAAACACTGTACATTACCCATTACTTCAGCCTTTACTGTTTTAAACTATGCAGAATACATCTTGCATGACATGGTATCTCTTGAACTCTGGATTGTATGACTGTCTTCATTTGTACATTTAGCAGGGCACCACTATTAGCACACACAGTCCGAGGCTGAAGAGCTGAGGTGCTTGCTCCTTGTGCAGAAAGCCAGAGTTCAGTTCCCAGCACCCATGATAGGTGGCTTACAACTGCATATAACTTCAGCTCAAGAGGATTTGATGCCCTTCTTGGCAAACACCTTTGCATACATATACATACACAAAAATAAAAATAAAGTAAGTCTTTACAAATATAGATATATTATTATTATTATTATTATTTATTATTATTATTCTTTGCTCCTTGAGACAGCATCTCACCATGTGGCTCAGACTGGCCTTGATCTTAGTCCTTCTGCCTCAGCCTCCCAGGTCTGGGATTATTTAGTGTCTGTCAACCATGCTGGTGGAAATCTTGCATTGACTCTACATGGAAGTCACTTTGTCAAATGTAATTGTCATTGGCACATAGGGGCACAGAGCATGATTTTTCTAACATAAAGAATCCTTTGAAGAAAGAATGACTTGGGCTCTTCACTGAGTTTAAAATGAGTATTGTGTATGATTGTCGTCTGTTAATAGGAATTCTTTTTGTTTGTGGTCGTGTGTACACGCAGGTGTCCTCACACATGTACACACGTGCATGCGAAGGCCAGAGGACAGTCCTTCAGGAAACACCGGCCACTTTTTTTTCCCATACTTGGTTGTTTGTGTCTTATTGGCCTGGAGCTCACTAAGTAGTCCAGGCTGGCCCTCAGAATCCCAGGGGATCTACTTTCTCTGTCCCCCCATTGCTAGGCTTACAAGCCTGTGTCACTGTATCTTCTTTGTTATGAGGGACCTGGAGACCTCTGCGTTCTGGAGAACTCCAGTTCTCTTATTTGTGTGGCAAACATTTTTCTCCCTGGCCTTTCTGGGACACTTTCCTTTTTCAGAATTGCTACCCTGACTCCTCTCACAGCTTGTGTTAATTTCCTGGATCCAAATAGAGAAGCCAGATGTCAGCTATACTTGGTCACAACTGTAGCTTGCCTCACAGCTGGCCACATCTTAGATCCTTGTGTGCTACTCCAAGATGGGAACAGGCATACAAGCTTGTGTGTCTAAAAGAACAGCAGAGGATTTGGGTGCCTTGAGGATAGCATGCTGTGGTTAACGACTCTCCCGAGTCTTCATGGTTCTGGCCTTCAGGCTGGCCAGCATGCTCAGGACCTTTTCATGTTCTGGTTGCTGGGCCAGGGTGGCAGCTTTAGAAGCATTTTCTGGGAAGGTAGAAGTCAGCAGTGTTAGTGTAGGGCAGTGGTTCTCAATCTTCCAAATGCTGTGACCCTTTTACAGGTCCTCATATGTGGTGACTCCAACCATAAAATTATTTTTACTACTGCTTCATAACTGTAATTCTGCTACTGTTATAAATTGTAATGTAAACATCTGTGTTTTCTGATGGTCTTAGGCAACCCCTGGGAAAGGGTTGCTCAACCCCAAAAGGGGTCTGGATCCACAGGTGGAGAACCGCTGCTTTAGACAGTGGTGAGACTGAAGCAGACAGTGAGTGGGAAGACTGCCCAGCTTTGGTGCGTAGTGAGAGCACAGCCCCTGTGGCACACAGCAAGTCTGTGCTTCAAGAAAATCTCTTTCATAAAACTCAAGGCTGATTGTGGGCCTTAGTTTGCCAATATGTTTAGATCTCAGCATCTCGTGCTTCTGAGCCTCAGTCTCTAGACTGTTGCCACCTAGGGATTCCAGTGTTCAGAGGACACACTGTACTGGAGCATATACTGTTGTTTAACACAGCTAGGCATGGTGGCTCATACCTTTAATCCTAGCAGTAAGGAGACAGAGGCAGGTGGATCTCTGAGTTCGAGGCCAGCTTGGTCTACTGAGTGAGTTCAAGGACAGCCAGGGCTACAGAGTGGAACCCTGTCTGGACCACCCCCAGCCCCACCCCACCCCTAAATAACCCATTAAACAGCACCGGCTGTCTCTGGCTTCTGACTTTCTTATTTGTGTCCAAGAGTTGGCTGGTTTTTTTATAAGATGAGTGCTTGTTTTCAGGAGTCTGCATGTAGTTATAAGGGTTGTATGGAGCTTAACATCTGTACTGTAATAGCTGAAGACCAGAGGACATTGGTCTAGCGACCACTGCCTCCTTCTTCCTGGAACAGGCTTGCTTAGTCAAGTTTTTTGTTCTTTGTATGTCTTTCTGATCCACTTATTCAAGACTCCTGAAGCAACTGTACAGTCCATAATGATTCAGACTTTTAAATACCAGAATAACAGAAATTCCACATTCCATTATTGTCTGGTGTATCTAGAAGAATTATGCCAGAATTAGCTAAAAACTAGTCACACGCAGAAGATAGTCCCTCCTCTTTGCCTTCCCCCCTTCACTTTCTCCTCACTCCATTACTTTTCTTCCCTCCCATCCCTTCTTCTTCTTTTCCTGTTCTCCTTTAATAGATACTCTAACTGGTTTTTCTTGTGGATGTGAATTTGAAGCTCCTTTTTCTCTTACTGCATGTTGAACCTTTGTATGACCTGTCCTTCGTACAGTACATAAGTGTACCAGCAGTGAGCAGTAGATTTCTGTGTTTGACTTTCCAGTGGAGTGAGGCATGTCAAGTGCTTTATAATGCCATCTCTCTGTGATATATTTTAAAATTAGTTTGTATGTATATAATTAATATGCATATATATAATATATTCTGCTGCTACTCCTCCACCCTCTCAGCCTCCCCCACTGCCACCAGTCCCCTTCCTTCCTCCGATCCCCACCCCACTCTCATGTCTTTTGATTTTGATTTTGGTATTGCTTTGTAGCCCACTGGGTTTAACCATTTCCTTTCCCCACCTGCACTCCCCAACTTTGTGGGCATGGGTGTGGAGCTGTCCCCTGGAACCTGGGTTGCTCACCAGTTGCTACATCAAATGATGACAATAGCTTACTCTCTCCTCCAAGTCCCCAACTGCCATTAGTTGACCTAGGTGGGACTGAGACCTACAAGTCCCACTTTGTCGAAAACCGAATGATTACTGGCTATGTCGTGTCCATTCCCTCTGCAAGTATGTGCAGCTGTTTTGAGTTCATGCATGACAGCCATCCCCCTGCATGTAAAGACAGCCTTACAGGAATGTGGATATCCCACAGAAGGCTGAGCACTCACTAGCCATGTGTTCTCAGAACTTTGACTCAGCACCATGAGTCTACATTGACCATGATTGCTTTAAAGAGAAGTTTCTTTGGTCAAGGTAAAGGACAGTACGAATTTAGAGTCATCTCTGACATGTTCTTAGCTTTTGTAGCCTCTGCTAGGTCTCCAAGCAGCTGGACACCACCCTGAGTCAATGAGACATACTTGCCATAGAGAAGGGACATAGACATCTTCATGACTTCATGTTCAATCTTAGTATTGCCAGCCATCAGCTGGGTAGCAACTGGTGAGCTACCCAGACTCTTCTGGCTGAAGGACTGTGTGGTTTATGTGCACCTCCATACTGTACCTGGATGGGAAGGTGTATTCTTTTGTTTTATCTTCAGACAGAATCTGATTCAATAGTTCAAGCTGGACTGCAACTCACTCTGTATAGTCTAGGTTGACCTTGAACTCACAGCAGTCCGATGGCCTCAGCCTCCAAAGTGCCACCACACCTGGCAGGCAGCCAGCCGTTTACTTTGTGCTGGTCAGTCATTAGTGTATTGTAAGCCTACCTTTGCTTTTGACAATTTCTTTGCTAGAGATTACTCTGTAGCCAAGGAAATCCCTCTTCCTGTTTCTTATGGCAAACAAGGAATTTCAGAAATTCCACGTCTTTATCTTGTGTCCTGGGGGCTGTGAAGGAGGAAGTGAGGATGAGTCTGCATTCTCAAAGGCTCCGGTGCTAGCACGTATGTATCTGGTTTTCCAGAAGAGCTCAGGTCTGTGTAAGTCCAAGTTGTGAATACCATGCAGTCTGCTCTCTGCACAGCAGCAAGGCCCATCCACCCTGCTGTGCTTTCTCTGTGTAGACCGTGGTGGGACTTCCTTTCTACACTGTGATCACCTGATGTTAAGGGCACAGCCCAGCTGGTCACAGAAGTCACATGCATAGGTGCAAAGGGACCTTGTGAATGGTGAAAATATGTGAAGGTTTGACTGCACTGGGCCTAGTGGACAGGATGTGTGTATGAAGACTGAGATTAACACACACATAGACACACAGACACACACATACACAAACACACATACACATGTATATACATGTCACTTTAAAAAAGAGGTGAGGCAGGGCAGCAAGAGGGCTCAGGGAGTAAGGATGCTTGCTGCCAACGCTGAGTTTGATCTTCGGAAATCTTTGTAATAAAAGCAGAGAGCCACAATCCTCAGGTTGTCCTTTGTCTTCACATGTGTGCTGTGGCAAGGACATGCCTGCACATGAACATGTGTGCT